ATTATTTCCATCGTAAATGTATAATAGTGCGGTCTCGCACACTGCTGCTAGTATGCCTTATACGAGGTGTGACTGTTTAGTAATGAGACTGATTATATTGCCGCGATACTGGTAACCCTGCGACCTTGAAACTCTATTTCCCTTATCCTCTCCATTGATATATTTGCCATCGCTCTTGATTGTTTAGTTTGCCTGCTGTCTCCTGTGTTCGTGATGCTCGTCACGAAAGTGAAAAAACGAAATCAACGCTTCGCGATAAAATTTTGCCCGAAACGTACGCTAAAATTGTAAAAGTGCATGGTGATAATGCTCTTAGTAGTGTCCAGGTGTTTCGATGCCATAACGAGTTTATGGTGGGTCTTAATAGCTGGGAAGACGAGGCGCGCAGCCGAAGACAACAAAGACTTTCTTCCACCGGGGCAAACCCTAATCAGGTCTACTGTCGCCAAGTACTCGAAAGGTTGCGAAAACGAGTCCACCGGGTGCGTCCAGACATCGCTCGTAACTGAGCCCTTCATCAGGGCAACGCGCCGTGCCACACCGCCCTCAGCGTGGCCCAGTATTTGGCCTCTAAAGGGATCGTCGTGTTGCAACAACTGCCTTATTCGCCCGATATGTCACCCTGTGACTTTTTTGTTCCTTTAACGCATTTTGAGACGATTGAGGACATCCAGGTAGCCGTAAAGAGGGTACTCGTGGACATCCCAGTCGAAGCGTTGCAGAAATGTTACGAAGCATGAAAAACGCGCTGGATTCGTTGTATAGCTGCCCAAGGGAACTTTTTTGAAGGGGATGGTAGAATAAAATAAAATAATCATTTTGAATCATTCGGTTTTTATGTAATCAGTCTCATTACTTAATTGTCACACCTCGTATAATATATATATATATAAATATATATATATGTACGTACGTACGGTGCGTTAGTGCCTTGAATGCAAATATATGTGGCGCATACGTAAATTCATATATGTACATATGTACTTATGTAAGTATATTTCCGCACACTATTTTTATGCCATCGAGGTGGTATTTGTAAGCGCATTGTTGTTGCTGTTGTTATTTCTGTGCTCTGCGCTGTGCATGCCACAAGACATTGATGTCAACTGACATTTGCCGGAAGTCGATATTTTTGGTGACTTATCTATGGAAATTATTTTCCGCTCAATGTGCTGCTCGCTTTTTCACACCAAATACAAATAATGTACTCGTATGTTTGTATGTACTTATATGTATATTCATGCATGGTAAAGATATATATTTACTAGAATACATGCATGCTCTTTCTAATAGATATCTTTGCATAGTATATATGTATGTATGTATGTATGTATGTGAGTAAACTACTTTCTTATGTTGGCTCTAGCTTTGGCTTTAGCCAAAGGCTTTATGTCTCATGCTTACACTCGCACATACACACATACATATACTCGTATACACTGGCCCACTGCCTTTCTTGCTGCCAAAGTAATCTCTGCAAAACTTACGGACATTGATTTATTTATGTTCGATTAATTCATTTCCGTTACGTGGCAATGTGTGCACTCAGCCGCACACAATTGCAGTGAATTTAGACCACAAACACACATATACGAGTATAAACACACCGCATACCGCATACATACTCCACATATTATGCACATAATTTCGGTCAGGATTTGGTCTGTCTGTTGGTTTCGAACGCGTCTTATAGATTAAGTTTGTACTGAACGTGATGGTTTGCATGCAGATGTTGTTGTAAGACACTACTTCCTGTCACAAGCGACTTGGTGGCTTTGATTGTTAATTTGGGCGGCGCACTTAGTTCATCTTTATGATTTTAGTTATCTCATTTTTATTTTTTATTCTAATTTCTCAAACAAAGAGAAAATACGCTATATTTTGCTTCATGACAGGATATATTTCATCTGGGCCTCGTATACTACCAAACTCAAACGATTCGCTTCATTATCCACCCTCAAGAAGGTAGAACTCACGGCTCGTTTGTTGAAGCCAATAATGTCAATATCATTACCAAACTGCGCTTATCCGGCGTCAGTTTACAGAGACGTTTCAGAGAGTTTTTTGGAGATGTCAAATACAGACATATCGGCGTACAGGCAGCTTCAAAATCGATGAAAGTGTAATGTCACTCGATTATTTTTCGCGGACCTTTTACAAAATTTTGCGCATAATGGATTTACAAGGTCTAAAGCCACACTTAGAAGATCAAATCAGCTTGTTGATAGTGGGCTTCAATCTTTCACAAAACTTGCCCCACAAAACTTCCTATACGATATTTAGTAGGCCCCTCTTTATGGATGGGGCCGTGCATACATAAGTCCCAATTGTCGGGCAAGCTTTCGCCCGATCATATTCTGCAATTTCTGTCAGCATTTCAGCGTCATGTTTGAATACTCTGCTTTTATGCAATCAGTTCTAGTAGCCTTGTTGTTCGTTAAACGGGCAATAGCTATTCCAACTTCAGGTAATGGAACGTCCTTTTCCATCGACATTCATTGGAAATTCGGGTTATTCTTCCCCGTTTTTCTCTATTTTCACTGCCAGTCAGTGAACTGGGCAAGTGTTCTTTGTCATGTGTTGTTCTTGTTTATTACTTCCACACAGGGTTGCTGTTGAACTGACCTGCCTGCTTTTCGAACTTTCACAACGTGAATAGTTTATAAAGTCAAAAACAATGTTCAGTTATAAAAATAGTCAACACGCGAATTCTCTTACATTTTAAGCACAATTATTTTCATAAAATATCATACGCCATAAAACACACAAACACATGCATACATATAATAGAGAACATAAATATGTGTGTATGTGAAAAAATATTGCCCTTATTTTTTATATTTTGTAAGTTTTTTTTTTATTTTTTGCTGAACCAAATGCAATTTTCATTCACTAACACCACAATGTTTGCATGTACGTTTACCAACCCACAACGGACGCGACTGTGTTTGTGTTTTGCAGCGGAAAGAAAAATCGCAAAACCGGAAATAGATTTTACTCCCGCCAGTGCAATTTCATGTGCTTGTGGGAGTGACTTTATGCGGTTAGAATATCGAATATTTTAACTATATGCAATTTGAGTGTGAGTGTGGGTCTGCTGTGAATGTGCCTAATGTATGCGTGTTCTACTATGTGTCTGGATGTGTGTGTGTGTGTGTGTGCTTATCTTCTGTGTGAGGAAATGAATCATGTGCCAGTAAAATATGCAGGCAGCAAGAAAAAAATGCACTGCGTTGCATAAAAAGCTAAAATTGTATATGAAGTAAAAATGGGATTAAAAAAAAAATGCCAACACCAAATGAAATTGAATGACATGGGAGCAAAAAGTCAAATCACGCAATTTTGTGGTTACGACAAACTGATATTCAATTTTTTTATCGACTGAAGGAATATGCTTATAACGCATACATATGTGTATACATGCATACGTATATATGGTAAATCTCATTTAAATAAAAGTTTGCATGCCCTGCGCTTTAATAAACTGAAAATGCATTGCATAATAACTGCAAAATTTTCGCTCATTTCCATTAGGGTGATCAAAAAAAGATAAATTTTGCTGCACACTTACCTTAATGGTGGTAAATAAAATATAGTTTTTTTTTTGTACATCAAAGTAACGAAAGCCACATTTTAAACATATGTATTTGTTTTTAGTAGAATTAAAAAAATTCAAATAAAATAAAAATTAAATAAAAAAACAATAGGGACTATGAGTTTATTTGAAAATTATTTATGTTTAGAATTAAATTAGTGGTATTTTTGTTAGTTTTAAATTCACATTTGAAATGTATTTAATTTTTTTTTTTAAATCAGCGTCAAAATGAAACAATTTTAAGAATTCTAATATTAAATACGTTGTATAAGAAAACGTTTAAATTTTGTAAAATTAACTAAATAAAATGTATAGATTTCAGAACTTAATTTAAAAAAAAAATTATTTTACCTGAAACATGATTTTGTATATAAAAATATATGATCATAAATGGTCGAGGGTGCATAAAAATGTTGTTCAGACAGGCGCTCAATCACCTAATTGAAACCATTTAAACATGAACATAACATGGTACAGGGTTATCCAATCAGAGGTGTTATTTTGATATATAAAGAAAATTAGCTTTTTTTAAATTTATGTATGTAAATATACCTGAGTGTGGGTAGGCGCTAAGGGAACATGAAAATTTAAAGTTATGCTTTAAGTGTCACCTTAATGCATGCAAATATGTGTGTTTCTGCCGCTAAATACTGCATGAAGGTATTTCAAATAATTTACGTGACACTATCTTAAGCGAAAAAATTATTCAACGCCCTCAAATTTACCCTCTCCTTCATTAATAATAGTTAAAACCTTAAATTAAAGCAATTAACATTAATATTTTGCTCTCAGACTGACTGTTTGGATAGCTCGCTGGCTGACTACCTAACTAACTAACTGACTGACTGACTGAGTGACTGACTGCAAGACCTGCTAAGTAACGAACAGCAAATAAACCGCAATGCCATGCAAATTTTATGTGCTTCCCAAATCCGCTTAAGCTCATAAAATTTAAATTTTTTTCCTACCTTTGCTATTCCTGGTAGTTTTATTTGTGTTTTGTGGCCACACTTTTGTGGTTAATTTTCCTTGCCCGATGACCAAACGCTAGCCTCATGTTTGGCCAAACTCTTAATAGCTCCAATGCCAGTGAACCCACCCACACTGGTCCACCCGCTCAGCCGCTTAGCCGCTCACCTGCTAACTACAAACTACCAACTGCCAACTGCCAGTTAAATGATCAACCACAAAACCAACAACGTAAGGTTGTCCTGGCGATAAGCATTTAATTTAGTAGTATAGAGTCAGCCATGTTTCTAACTAATATATTTTTAGTTTTTTATTCTGCTATATTTATATTATGGTTAAGGCACTGCATATATATACATATACATACATCCTTAAAATTTATGGAAGCAAAAAAATCGTTTAAAATTTCTTCTTCCTTTGCCATTTCTTCTTCCAGGTTGCTGTTTTGTGACATTTTATACTCGTCGCGCTGCCTTAAAAGCCCAAGATGCCCTGCATAATGTGAAAACCTTAAATGGGGTAAGTTCATAAAATTTAATATGAAATTGTACTATTATATTTTTTTAATTTTTTTGTTTGGCATTTATTACAATTTATCCATTCAGCTTATCTGCTGTAGTACATTGCAAGCGTGCTGCTCTATAAATCACATTTAAGGCGTATTTTATACGTAATGTGTATGCTAATTATATTTGAGAAAAAGGAAATAGGCACATAGAACAGTTAATACCGTGATAAATTAATATAAGATACATATTTTGTTATTGTCCGTAAATAATTTTTTGTTCTTTTACAGTAATTTGTCACCTGCAAATGAGCTTTACCTCCTTAATCAAAAGCTTTAAATTTTCCTTCTTTATTTACTAAATTTACTCGGCAAAATTTTATCTTCGAAAATCTGTGGTCTTGTTGTTTGGAGTTAATCGAAAAACTGGAAATCTGTAGTTTTAAGCCACAGTCTGTCACTAATTTGTCAGTCTTAGTTTTGTGGCATTCAAATGACTTAGTTCATTCCTAAAGAAAACTAAGGATTCAATTTAGTTTTGTCGTCATATAATGACCTAGTGAAAAGTAGTCCATCTTTTATAGATTAACCTAATCTTTCCCATTTTGATGGCAATATCGTTATGCCTCACTCATTAAAAACCTTGTTGTTGTTGACAAAAAATTGGGACAATGGAATTTCACAGGCTTCTCTTGAGGTCAATTCTTCAACAACGAAATCAACAGGTCCGGGAGATAAGGTAGATAAATAAGAATCCCCCAACTAAGCCCTTGCAGCTTCCGATGATTCTATCGTTGCCCTGATGGAACAGAATTCCAATCCAAAAGCTGGCCGCTTCTGTGCGATTGCTTCCTTCAGACGGTTTAATTGCAGACAGTATAGGACCGCAACGGGATTTTTGCCACATGGGAGCAGCTCGTAATAGATGATTCCTTTCCAATCCCACCGAATACGCAAATTAGAAAATCCCCCCGAACGTCAAACCTGACTTGAAGACAGTTTGTGTCGGCTCACTACCCTTCGACCGCTGCCGCTTCCATTTAACGTTGCTCTATGTGGTCTACTTTGCTATCACGAATTACCATGCGCTTCAGTAATGGATCGATTTTTTAACGATTCAACAGCGATTCGCAAATGGTATGTGGATCTTAAGGTTTTTTCTCGTTAACTCATATATTCTTTGTGTTTACAGCCTTTTCAAAGTGGCTTCGTACTATTGTTTGTGCAATGCATAGCGTCTGAGTCATCGATACAGTACTCGTATGGTGGTCAGAATCGATGTTTTGCATTGTTTTATCGAAATATTCGGCGATTGGTCTTCCATACCGTGAAGCATCTATTACATCAAAACTACTGGAACGAAATGGTAGAAGCCGAAATTCTGTTTGGTTGACTGTCACAGTATCAAGAGCAAAACACTACTTACATTTTCAGCTGTCTGTTGTGCGAAAAATTGTATAACATAGCGTTCTTCTCGTTCATATAAAAAGCTTTCGTGATTAGAGAAATATAATTGCTGTTCACACAGTCACTCAATTAGCTAATTGAGAACGTTTTAACAATTATACCAATATTATCAACTAAACTTGCCATACAAAAACTCAAGCTGCCAATCTATTACAAATTAATTGACATGTAATTTCAATAAAATTGTTCATACAACACGGTAAAGCACGTTTAACGAGACAAGCAAAAATTCAGTGACAAAACGAGTGACATGAGAAGAACTTAACAGAGAAAAGTTTCATTGCAATTCAAAATTATATTAATGTATAGACAAAATTAACTGCTAGGATAAAATAATAAACAAAGTTAAGCGAATATTGGATTAAGGAAATTAGCTTTATTTTAAAAATATTATTTACAACAACAGCAAAGTACAAGAGAAACGACTTCAGCTCCTGTGGGTTAGCCGCTCAAGATTTTACCCATGGTAAGGCATGCCTGTCGTAAGTAGCGACAAAAATTCAATAGTTCCCGCAAGAGTCGGGTTTTTATACCATACCGACCCGGATTTTTACCCGGCCAAGGACTGTCACTCCCGCAATATTCTCCGGTAACCAAGTCGGGGAATATTTTTCGATTACAACAACAACAGAAATGACTTCACAAAACTGAGTATTCAGAACATTATTAAGAATAATGGAGGAATGGCTTTCTTTACGAAACGAGCTTGCGAATACAACTTAACTTCCTTCAATTTAATGAAATTTTTATACGTCTTATTGTTAGTATTAATATCAGACCGATTCAGGGTATAAACAAAAGTTTATTATTCACAAAATAAATTAAAAATTTGTTATCGATTAGGCTTAGATTAGATTTTTATATTTTCAAAAGCGAGAAAATGAATTGAAATCTAGTGAGCATTTTTGGAGTTACAGTGATGACTAGTTTGAAAAACTTAGTTTAGTTAAAAATCCTTTATTGCAAATGAATCATCTGGAGCTCACGAGATCCCTGCTAAACAACGTTATCACCATGTGAACTTTTTGGGGATTTTTCCTTATCTCAATGTACCCTCATTAAGCATATCTAACTATTTGATTTAAATCACATTCAACCCCGACAGTTTAAGTTATGAGTGTGGAGAGTTAAAGCTGAGCTCTTATAAAAAAGAATGTTTTGTGAATGTTGTGTTGTTGTGAGTAGGGACCAAAGGGAGATGTTCTTTCAGTAGATATCCTTGATCTTAATGCGTTATCAAGGGAAATGGAGTAAAAGAATTCTATCAGATTGTTGTTTTAGACTTACGTGTAGACAAGTATTTATTGTAAGCTAGCAATAACATTTCTACAAGTGTAATTTTTCTGAAACTCAATGTTTTTATGTCGCAGTAAAATCAGTTGTATTCATATTTTTTCTTTGGCTGATTATTGTTTGTTGATACGTTAAAAATTTCATACATATTTTCAGGTTACAGCAAAAGTTTTATTTTTTACCAATGCAATTGAAGAGCCCGATAAGCATTTTTCGGATTCGTTTAAGATTTTCCGAGTATTGTTTTAAAATTTTTCGAAAAGGGTCAATAATTAAGAAACCGTATGAAAGGATATTATAACAGTAAAAAACACTAATTGATTCAACCTAATTGAGCGTGTGTGAACGACAAAATTATTGCGGAAACTTGAATCGTAACTGTCTCAACTAATTGACATGCATACACATACATACAGCTAGCATTAAATTTTGCTAATTTTAGTTTTGCTCGTGATTCCGAGCATAGAACTCACTTATACAGTCAGTATTACTAATTTTGTGTATACACATTTGCATGCCTTTCCTAACCCTCTGCCGCTACCTTCTCTCTCAGCGGTTGTGACCAAAATGGTGTACGTAAATAATTTACGAAGGAATTTAGACCAACAACAGTCATCGGCTGAATTTTAAATAAATTTAAAAAAAAAAAATCCACTTACAGCCGACCCAATTACAATGCGCTCAATTTATTTTTAACTCTTTCCACACACCATCAACCATTCAGCCTCTGCTTACCACGGCACGCATATTTAATGTAATTTTCACATTTTTAACGGTCTCTAATTAAAATAAACTTAAAAATCCGCAATGAAAATAAAGAAAAAAGAAAGGGCAACAAAAATGCTAACGGTTAAATATAGTCGGTTATATTTGGGGATTTTAGTTTTAGGGTTGTTATTGCTGGTGATGGTGATAACACATATTTACACAGTTGATTTATTGACATAACCAACCCCCATCTATTAAACGAAATTTCGACGAAACCGAAGTGACCTTTTCACCACCGCCGCATTACCAACACACCACCTCCACACCACTGCTCATGTACTTCCTGTTGAGGTGAGTGGAAAAAAGTGTTGTAAATGGAAAGAGTGAAGGCGGCTTTGTTACGCCGCGTATGCTACGGGAGTGTTGGTCGTAAGTCACGATAAGTTTAAAAATATATGCTCGCTTTAAATATTCAACGTATGCAGTGGCGAAGAGTGAGCTCCTGCCTCTCGCCTCTCGCCACTCGCTATTCGCCCCCTCGGTCAGGCAAGTACGGTGAGCAGTCCGTTCAATTGTGGGAGCAGGCTTTAGCATTTATAATATGCGTACACTAGCGATTCGCATCTACACATGTATGTATGTATGTGTATGCGTGTGTGCGTGTGTGCGTGAAATTTTGCGTTGATGACTTCGTTCGTATGGAGAATTTGGTATTTATGGCATTTTAGCGCGTTGCAAATGACTCTGCTTGGTTTACGAGTGCGGCGTAATGCTCGCCGGTATTCTTTCTTTCATACACTCGCTTGACATGCGTCAATTAACCAACTGCATAACTGCATTTTGAAGTGCCATACATTTTTATATGCATTAACATTTTGAGATTGCGCAAAAAATTTGCGATTATTATATTCTAATTTGTGAACAACAATGCAATTTCCTCTACTACAAGAATTCTCATTCTTTGGTAGTGGCAGCCGCGCGGCTTCTTAGGGTGAGCTGGCATGTAATTGGCTTGTTTTGGGTAATTAATTTTAGGAAATTTTGCGTGAGAGTATTTTTAATTATAATTTTTTTTTTTGCACACTATATGAAATGAGAGCTGGTTTGAATTGGGGTTAAGACAAATTCGAGTCTGATGCTTAAAACCCCGAGCAGAAAGGTAGCAATTATCAAGTCCCTCAATAACAAATTTGACATTTATTGGGCTTAGATTGTTGTGATGAAGAATTAAGGAAAGTATTTTCTACATGTTTCAAAACAAAGAGTTTTTCCAAAAGTAATTGTAGAAATAATAAAACACTCTTATTTCTTATTCAATGTTTATTAGATGTGTATTTTTTGAAATTAAAATAGCAACTGCCCTGTTGGTCTACTGTGCAGTACGCTTTTCGTTCATTCGTTGAATTAGTATTGCCTATATTCAGTCTGGTAGGGTTGTTTTATATATTAGTCTTAAGTTAATATTATATTAGTAGTAGTCTTTTAGTATGTCTGTCCACTTCAGTTTTCAGTCTTTGTTTGCCTCCTACATATTGGTATAGTAAAAAGAAATCCATATTTTTTTCATTGTTGTATAAGTCATATCGGGTTCTACTAGATGGCGTTAGAAATGCGACATTTTGTACAAAAAAAGTTTTTGCGACAATTTTGCGATTGATTGATTCAGTTTTACTTGAGCGTGCGTCACTAGAAAATACGCTGCCACCTTTACAGTCAATCTTTGCACAATTTTGGTTTCATTACGGTATTTTTCATGTAAAAGATGCTTCATGGAGTGGAAGGCCAGTTGTCAAAAATGTCGATGAAATCATGGGCATTGTCGAAACCCGACCGTCTTGTAAGCACTGTTTCGATTGACCAAGAGGTAAGGATTGAACGAAAAAACCGTTTTCAGAAATTGAATTTTGCATACTACAGAAATACATAGTCTCAGCAAAGCTGGCAACATAGACGGGTACATCCAAGGCGGGGCACCCTGGCTGATCGACAAAGTGCCCAGTGACTTATATATGATAAATAAGCAATTAGTTTCAGGGTATAATAACTATTCAGAGTTAATTAAGATGACGATAATTACAGAATTTTACTTTCCAAATGATAAATACATTGATTTTCAAAGAGCTTCTGTTGGAACTGGCATGGAAATTTAGTTTTGCCAGAGAGCGGTAAGCCAGAAATTATCTTCTGAGATTTATGTCATCAGCTGCAGGATGAAAAAGGATGCGATTATGCAAAGATCTGAGGTATTGCTGGCTGAATGAGACAAGCAAGTTTCTTCAAATTGATGGCTCAAGAAATTTATAAAATCGAGATGTAGGTTTCAGTATAATTTCTTACAACTCAAAGGATCTGTTAGTGAAACAAAAACTAAAGTAGTAAAATTATTAAATATAATTGGCGCTCTTCAATTTTCGGCCGATTTCCACTATAGAGCTTTCACACCTTTTACATTGATCTATTCTGGACGTGTTTGTGATGAGCTTTCCATAAGTCGGATAAAGGTTAATAATAGACGGATTAATAAACTTCTTATCTGAAAATAATTGAAAAAGAGGCAATATTAGAAAAAAGCTGATAATCATTGTTACCTACAAAAAAATTTAAGCCCGAACTCCCTTTAACCTGACAAGAGTTTTCCAAATAATACAAGAATCTTGACGCTTAATACTTATATAATACGCCATTTGCATCATCGGCCATGGTCAAAATTATTCATTAAAAAAAAAATGTTGGACTTCCGTATTTTAAAGTGGCTGTGCAAACTTTTACTTCAACAAATTTTAACAAATGAGCTGATATTGCTGATTTCGCAAATTCGAGAATAAAATTAAATAAAAACACTGAAAATAAATAACAAACTGACATTTGAAAATACAACGCAAGCGGAAATTTTATGGGAATTTATCGGTATTGGCAGAAATATCTTCGACGGAAGAGAAATCAAGCTCTTTTTGGTCGAATTGTGAGCTCTGCACTTTTTTCAATTTTTTTTTATATTTTTTCTTTTTTACATACTTAGGTTGTTCTGGTGCAAAGTGCATAGCCTCACGTCGCTACACACGAATGACTATGTAATTTGCATGCAACCCCATCTTTTTCTGCTACACACGAGCGCATGCCGGAAATGCACGTAACGTAACAGAGCACGCGTGTGTGTCACTATTGTCAGTATGTGTGTCCCTTATATGTGTGTGGATGTGTATGTGTAAAAAAGAGAACGGTTGATTTTTCTATATTTGTATGTGCGCTTGTAGTTATAGAATTTTTGCTGTGGCAACAATTTTAAATCTTTCCTGCTGACGATGACAGCACAGCTGAATTATATAATAGCGATCGATGCTCGTTTTCAGTGCAAAAAAATAAAAAATTGTATAGTAACTCGCACACCGACAGCTTTATTATACCAAGAAATATGCAAAGCTTCAAAGGATATGCTCTTTTGAGGTTTTTTATAAAAAAAAATTCAATTCATAATTCCATCCCAGATGAGCTCTTCATAACCTTATGCTGGCTTTAATTGCGCACGGTATGCAACTGAGTGAGTTTGAGTGTGGTTTAAAAGTATTGCTGGGTATTCTGGTTTTGAAGGTATTGTCAAGGTCAATTTATTTTTTATTTATTAAAAAGCTTTTGCTAACATAAATCGAAGCTTGAATTTACCTAATTTTTTTAAAAAAGAAACTTTTTATCGTTAATTTTGAGTAGATACTGCCTGCTCGATTTTTTGGCTATAAAGTGCTGCTGCAGAAATCTTTATTCACCCTCAATGTTGTATTCTGTTTACTCAAAGCTCTCGAAAAAAAACACCAATTACATACTATAGAATATAAATTTATAACCTTTTCTGCCTTTTCCTAAGGTAAATAAAGCTCTCAAAATATCATTTTGTTTTGCATTTTCGCTATATACAACATATGTATATTTAAGAATATTTGTAATGCTTAATCCGCAAACATAATGGCAACACAGGCCGAGCTTTCGATAAAAAGCTCAACCAACTCCTCTACTTTTTCGTCTTCTTGTTTTGCTGTTTGCTTCTTTTACACACTTCTTTGTTGATCTTTGATACAGAAATTTGCAGAATCGCCATCGCGGTAAGCTGGTTTCCAAAAATTTTTTTATTTTATTTATTTAACCCTTGCAGCGAGTTCCACGGCAGCTATCATCTGAGTTAATCATAAGCTATTAGATAATTTAGTTTCTAGTTCTATTTGAATATCAAACAAACAAAAAAAAGAGCTAAGTGAAAGGAACTTCTGAAACTTCAAACGCCTTTTTCTCGAAATAGTAATTTCGAACTAAGTTATCTCGATTTCTCAAAAATGTCTCAATTGATCGGTCATAAATATTCATAACATTTCTTTTAGATATATTGCTTAGGTACCGATCGAAGACATGTTTTCAAAAATCTTAAGTTGCCTCATACATACCATTGTTCGAAATCTTTATTGCGTGTGAAAGATCAAACATATTTTTCCATAATCAATAATCCAAGCTGCATCATAACAAACAACCTTTCTTGAGGCCGCTTGGGACAACATCTACAGCAGCGGTGCACACTATTATTTATACATGGTCAGCACTCTGGTGAATTCTTTGATGTAGACTGCATTTAAATTACCAGAATTGGTAGTGGTTAACTCAACTTAAAAACCTACATTGAAGACTTTGCAAACTTATAACTCAATTCAGAGAAATTATGTTCACAGTGTTTTCTTAGCAGCTGCTGCCGTATTAGTTATTATTTTAACTTAGTTTTTATTTTACTTTTGTTATTTTTAATAGCGTGTAACTTTTCACGGAGTAGTCCGGTTAAGTGCGTGCTAAGACAAAACAAATAAGAAATGAAATCCAATATGTTTAGCTAAAATTTTATGTTCACAGCAAATTATGAAATAAAAAAAATAAAAAAATAAGAAAGTTAAAGAACAAAAAAAAAAGTTTTATTTATCTTTATTAAATTCTTTTTAAACTAATGGAAATATATCATATTAATCCATTAAGTAATTAACAGTGCTTCAGGTCTTTAAAGTATATCGACATTTGGTCTCTCTTGATTCGTTCCGTAGTTATGTTCTATTTTGACTGGTCTCATTTATGAATACTCTATAAAGCTTAGAGCCGTCTGTGGAATTTACAAAATATTTTCCACCTAGGCCCGACCCTTCCTCTCGTATGCACCTTCAGTTTTCTGTGTTGCTTAATCGTAAAACCTTAAGATATTCAGACGACGTCACGCATTTTGCTGCACATAATTAATTAAAATTCAAATTTAAACTTTTTTCAATTGGAACAAGGAATTCCACATGTTTCGCGGCTTCAAAAAATCGTTTGTTTTCTTCTCTTAGGTACAGCTTTGCGAAAGTGCGTTCAGCGCTTTAAAATTTAAGAGTTTTTTTCTCGAAACTTTGGTTTTATACACAGTTGTCAAAAGTTTTCGAAAACTACTTTACCGATCTTTTTGAAACATGGCACAGACCTGTGCCAGATACAATATTAGAGCAATTTCACAAAAGTTTTTTTTTTTTCAATTACAACTGTTCAAAAAAATATTAAGCAAATTTTACCAAAACATGTTTCCAAAGTTTCATTATTTTCCTTGGTCCAATTTGAGTAAAAAAAGATAACTAAAACATGGTTTGCTTTTGCTCTGGATGATCCTAGCATAACTTCTACTCTTAAAGCGGACATGCTATTTTTCTAAAGGTCACCGGATATGACGTCACAATGGGGGTGTTATTATTATTTTCCCTCGCATACTTCAAAAATTCTATTTTCAACTGTGTATTTTAAAGAAAAAGTTAATTTTTTTAAAAAAACATATTTTTTTTTTATATAAGAAAAGATGAATAAGCCCATAAAAGACATAACAAGCTGATGTGATATACATGTATACTTTTGTTTCGAAAATACATAAGTTTAAAAACGGAAAAAAGAATATTATTACTTTTGAATATATTTCTATAGCTAAACTTCTACCTCTACCCTGCACTCCTTTCTAGTTTGGAGCACAATTTGCATGGCTAAATTTTAAGTAAAGTTTTAAAAATTAAAATGTAAATTGTCTTTGTATAATTTTTGAACATTTTTTTTGCTTTGCATTGCAGATGTATCATCCCATACAAATGAAGCCTGCCGATAGCGAAAATCGAAATGGTAAGTCACAGAAAAAGCTTTTCAATCCAAATATGCGTACCTATGTATCAAAATTGATTCAAAAGCCTTAAATTTCGAATATATGACCCTGCACAGTTGCAAAACGCCTATATGTATGCTATGAAATAGTTTTAACCGCTAACATTTAAACACCAGCACACATTTGTTATCACTGTTGTTGGAAATTTGTGGCTCCATTTTCGGTTTCAACACTTTCCAGCTTTGACTTTTTTAACACACACTATTTTTATTTATTTATTTTTTTATCATTATTTTTTTGGCGTCAACTTGAGTGTTGAAACTAAATTTTTGGGGGTTTTACACAAATAAATACATACACAAATATATAGATGGCTACATATATTCTGAATTGTGCTTAAATGCAGCAAAGTTAAAAGTGAAAGGCAACAACAATTTCAACCGACGTTTTTGGTATCCCCATCAAACATTCAGCAGAGAGACGCAAGGCAAATAAACATATTGACCAAAAAACTGTAACATGACGAATGTTAGAGTGGGTTAGTGAGTGGGTTAGTGAGTGATGGCGATTGATGTGGGGAATTTGAGTGATTCAAATGTGCATAGAATGCTTGAAATATGCGTTTGTAGATACACATACATACTTACATTAGATATATGTGATTTAAAAATGTGTTTTAAATGCTGATGCCATAAATTTATTTCAATAGTCGATGATGATTTAATTCACTTGCATATCTGTGAAATATGGATTCAATGGAAAAGGCATACATAAATTTATTTTGAAAATAAATTCTTAATCTCTATTGAAAAATAGCGAGAGATTAAATAATGCTATTGAGTTTTTTCATCTTAATTGAACTTAAGCGATTATGTGCAGCGTAAATAAAGCCTTTTTTCCCATTTCTCGCTTCAAATGCGGCAAAGCTTTCTGTATTTTTTACACTTTTTTTTAAGTTATAAAAGACTGATTCAATGCAATCAGGTTTAACTCGCGCCATTCACGATCCATAAATACTATGTGATATTTGCATTTTTTATTTTTCAATCATATTATGAGCTTGTGTATTAAAATTAACTAGTTCAGGGCTAGTTTGAATTAACATTCTAAGCAAATTAAAATTCTCAGACAAATTTTACTCAACACCAATGCACCTGATACATTTCTCACGGATATTTCGTCGACGATATAGAGATTTTCAAAGTTCGGCCAAAGACATATCAATTCAATACTAGTATCATACCACTTCCAAATCGACCAAATATGAATCAGGTATCAGTGTTTTAATGTAATAATATATTATTTTAATAATTTAATTAGCTATCAGGAAGATTTATAATGTATATTTATTCATTATTTCATAATAATTGTAAAATTGACTGTATTTCTCGAAGTAGTAGCGGGCTAGACCTACTTGGACCACTTTAATATTTCACTGCAATAGATAATAGATTGCAATTGGTATATCGGAAGCTCCTTGACCAGTCAGCACTAGCTTCTTCTTAGTACTTATATATATACATACATAATTTTTATTTGTGTTTTTTTATTTGTTTTTTGGCCCGCTCAATCGATGTTCGACCGAGCTCCTCCTCCGATTTTTGGATTTACGTCTTAATGTCTTTCCAACAAATTAAAGGACCTACAGTTTATACTAAACCGCCTCCGAACGGCTGAATGAAATGCACTCGGAGGGTATTTAAATTAATTTCTTATAGCTTTTCGGATATTAGTACGACACCAGGATTTGAGCCCGAGCCCTCTGAATACCACTTGTCTACCGCAGCCGCCAACAGTACTAAACTAGTGAAATTTGGCCTAGTTTGATTCTACACTGCGGGAGACAACTTTACCATTTCAACACAGCACATATATGAGTATAATAATAATCCCGATAAGTGTATAGAAAGTTACACTACCAATCGACACTTGTTTCTAATTTGTCATAGCAGAAGTGGACTAGTCCAATTCGTCCCAATTTGGTATTACACAGCAGGATACCACTCTAATATTTCTTTACGACATATATACGAGTGTAATAACACACATAACCGTACCGGAAGTAAAAGCAAACTAGTCTGATATTACACTACATGATACCCGCATATAATCTTCTTTAGTATATATATGTCTATAATATATATGTATTTTGACACAAATTTTCACTACCATTCTCTAAAAACCTTCACGTTGAATAACCATCGCGTGGGAGTTTGCAATTTGGTTGACTTTATTATTACATTTTTATTTCTATCTCTCTATTGTTGTTGCTGGCTTAGTCACAGCGCTGTCAATGCGGTTAGTTACCATTTTAACTAACTACATAGCCTTAAGCCAAATGTGGGGAATAGAGCGACGTGTTAAATTATGTTAACAAGTGTATTTAATTTACCAATTTACATAGGAGAGAAAGAAAATAGAAATAAACAATAATGAAACGTAAAACGAACACAAAGTGGCAGTCCCCAGGTGCAACAAAAATAGTTTATGACAATAAAATGCGTTAGCTTCAGCGTCAGCTATTTAGTGTGTGCCTGTATTTGATATTAGAAAAGTTATTCATGATTATTTTAAATAACTGCAAATGTGCTCCCAGCGACATGAGGCGGGGTGGTGTAAGTGGAAAAAGTTTTGAAAGTTGTTTCAAAATCGTTGCTGAAACTAAGCATACTTAACTCATATTATGTCCATGGAGAGTGTAGGGAATATTTTATAGTTTTTTCTTTTTTTTGATTAATTAATTTAATAACTTTTTATCGGCGATTATATGAACCCAAGTCAATATTTTCTGCTCTTTGTTCGCTTCAAGTCTGGAGGAAAGTGGGATAATATTTATTGAGTTAAATGCACTTTCTCAAGGGTAGCTTAGTTTCCGATTGAGAGTTCAAAGTTTAGCTGGATAGCATAATATTTATAAATAATTTTTGTAAGAGAAATCAATATATGCTTTCTGTTGGATAAGTAATAAATAATTCGGAACACAATTTTTTATAATTAAAAAAAAAAAACACTTGCGCGCTTGTGGAGTCTAGTGTTAAGAGCTTTCACTCTCACTATTAAAGAGGTTTATTAAATACAGGGTTACAACAATCGACGTCGCAAAATCAACTTAAACATATTTAAAGTCGGTGAGGCTTGATGTAATATTATTATAATTTTTTTTTTCTGCAAATTTTAAAAATACTTATGTGAGCCAAACAAAATTAAAATATATAGAAATACTTCTTTTTCTTATATCTATAATACATTTAACTATCTAATGAATTCACGTTTTCTTAATCCATATACTTCAAGTTTAAAGGAGGTGCTGAAATAATTTTTTAAATTTTCATTTTCCAGAAAGTATTAATATGAATCATTTACACGAACTTCTTAAATTTTTTGTTCCTAATAACTTATTGAATACTTTTTCACCGCTTCGATTTTTTAACCAGAAGATTTTCAGTATCGCATTTGTATAACTCTTTCTTTCACCTTTGATAATTTTTAACGGTTTTGATGTTATTTGCTAATGTCGTTCTCTTTAAAAGGCATCAAAAGATAGAGTCGTTAGAAACAGAAATTTTCGTATAAAAATTAATAATAAAAGAAAATTTTTGAAAATGAAAATAAATTTGTTCGACATAAAACTAATTAAATTTCAAACTTGTTTTTTTTTATAGTCAAAAAGTTCCCCTTGTTTAGTTTTAAAATCATTGGCAACCCAGATATATGATTTTACTGTCGTAACCTTCTATTCTATAAACCTTGCGATATGAACTCAAAAAAAGCGCAGGCATACTATGTTGCCTTAAATTCGCTGTAAATTTTCTAATATTTTTCAATTCAAAGTTTACGACAGTCCAAACCATTAATTTTTATGGCATGCCTTAAAACTATTGAGCTGTTCGATAAAATATGTAGTTTATTATCATATTTTCCCACACGGTCTTATGTATGTATGTAGCACAAGACAGTAAAATAAATTATTGATCATTTTGTCGTTGATCGTCGCATATTCGGTGAATGGGCCCAAAACGAGACAAACGATCTATCAGCGATGAATCATTGACCCATATTTCTTCAAAATTGAAGCCAGCAATGGTATGCAGCCACGGGTAGTGCCTAGTGGTTCCAAAAAGACGGCGCTACATGTCATCTACACGCATTTATAGCCGATTTAACAACATTGAGCCATTCGCTTCTTCTTTTCACTTTTTGGGGTCAATTGAAAATGTCGATTACAACCAGGCCTTTCTCTACCAAATTTTTCAAACGGAGTGAAGATATTTCTCTTTCTCTGCTTTGACTAGATGGTACTGTATCGAAAATTTTCAAAGCTAGATCATTTTTATCCATTCGGATCACATGAACAGCGCTTGATTCGCTGAACACTGACAATGCGTCGTATCGTATATCTCATACAGCTCATCATGCCATCGGTCAACAACAAAATCAATTTATTGAAGATAACCTTGTTTTGAAACAAGGCCTCCAAGATTGTGCGATTTAAAACTGCAGGAATATTTTTTGTTGGGTTTTATGAAGTCACTTGAGCTCGAGACGATTGGCTGGTTCAAAGAGTAAATTCGCCACGTTATTGAGTTTTTATATCAAAATATTCAATATCACACGGATATACATGGTGTTAATCGAAAGAAAACGATTTTTATCCGAAAATATAGTGATCATTAAATAAGGTTCTAATTTCTTTGTTGCTTTGAAAAACTCACTGCTATTAGTGTTCTTGCCATATAGGAATAGATAACTATAACTTTATCTTTTACTTTTTAAGATCTTATCCATATTCAAATTTAATGTGCAATAACTTCCAAATCCTAGGGGTTCACATCACTTACTTAGCGATTCCCTTTTCAATGTTTCTTTAAGATATTTGAAATATTTTTATTCCAAATCATTATAAATATCATTCCCATTATTGATTGTATTGTGTCAAATTAAATTTATAATTTTTTTTATCACACAAAATTAGTGATAAAGAATTGCACTGTGACTTTTCTATCAAATTTACATAAGTTGC